GGGCCGGGGGGGCTGTCGGCTGCACTGGCTCTCTGTGGCCTTCCTCTGTTTTCCTGTGTTAACACCTGTTTGAAAGCTTTCCCATTCGAGGCAGCGTCTTCACAGCCTTCCTGCATCCTTTGCAGAGAACTCCTCTGTAACTTTCTTTCCCTCTGACTTCATCCCGCTGCTGACAGCGCACGGGCGTGCTCTCCACTGAAGCGTGGTTTTGTGTGGTACGTGAAGGTTTTGTAATAGAACAAGTGAAAAAGCAGCAGAAATCCCGAATGTATCCTTTAATGTTGCCTGTGCCTACTAATGACCTTGTCATTAAGATTAGTTAAGGAAAAACAACAAAGAAAAATCACTCTTCTGATAAAAGAATAAAACAAACACAACTTCTGGATTTGGAAATCTAGGTGGACTTCATAAAGTTAAATGACGATGCATTAAGAGGATGCATCAAGTTAGAAACTGTGTGGTCATTGCTGAAGTCCTAGTGATCCATGGGTGAGGCCAAATCCAGCAGCTTTCCCACCTAACAGGGCTCCCGGTGGGTGCAGCGTGTGGGGGGGCTGCTCCCCAGAGACCAGTAAAGGGCCAGCCTGCCTTCCCACTGCCAGCTCTTAACCTGCATCTGACATCTTGCCTTCCATGAGTGCATCCTGGGTGTTGGCTGATGCTGCCACCAGAACCCTGCCATCCTCCTTGCCTGCCGGTGGCTCTAATGCTTCTTTCAAAGAACTGAGCGGTGTGTGCCAAGGAAATGTATGTGCTTGCAAGGTCTTGAGAGTGTTGGCGAGAAGAAGGGGAAGGTTTGCAGTTTTAAAGTTTAGTGCCTGAAGTATAACCTTGGCTGGCCCCTCCCTCCTGGTTTGACCCAATCTCTCCTCAAATCTGTAAATTAAGGCAGCAAATGGCTGGAAATATGTGTTCAGGGTACTAAAGTTTTAAGAAGTATGAATGAAAACTTCTTGAACTGAAAGTAATGCCCAAAATGCAGAATCATTGTAGTGGGACAGGCTGATGAACTGGCTGCTAGGTTGTTGTGGAAGTCTGGTAGAAGCATTAGCAAAACAAGCAGTAGAGAAACAAAACAGTATTTTTTTTGTCACTTTTTGCCTCCATTGTTAGTTTGATTTCATTAATTTGCTTCACATTCACTAATGCAGGAGCATCATAATGCAAATTTCAAAAATTCCAAATTAATTTGGAAACTAAAGATCACTATTGGTAATAGTTATTTTAACTATTTATTATGTCTTTGTTTTCCACTTAATATGCCTACAGTTCATTGATACTTTATTTCAACTTTGTCTGTGTTTGCTGGAAGGCATGTAATGATCCTGCATGTTCTCCAAAAAGCATGGTATTGAAAAACACCTTTAAACTTGAAACAGCTCATCTAATTATAAACCTTTTATCTTTTCAGTGTGAGTTTAGATTCTTCAAGTGAGCCTCCCCATATATTCTAAGTTATGTATGAAGTGCATTTTGCAAGACAGTTGTTTTTTTCTTAACTTAGTCTTTAGTGCTTTTTGGTAAGTCAGCCTTTGAGTCCTCTAAGCTAACACATTTTGTAAAAATGTGTCACAGAGTGAATGGGAGTTTGACCAGAGTGAACTAGTTCGTACCATGGAAAGGAACCAGCTTTGAAAAAACCTAATTGCACTGATGACTTCTGCTGTCAGTGGCTGTTGAATCTCGGTGCTTTCTTACTGTTAAGATGCAAATGAATTAGATCTTTGCAAATCCAAAATAGTGCCTTGAATTACAGCTTGAGGCTGCCTGAAAGCTAGCCTAGGTCTTGGAGCACGTGAATAGCCCTGACTTGTAAGAAAGACCCGTAGCTTCATTTGAGCTCTTCAAAGAAAGTTGCAGCCTTCCACAGAAGTCTGAAGGTTTCTGCTGGTAAGTACAGCATCTCTGTAGAGCAGAAGTGGAATAGTAGTATAGTCTTGAAGAGCTGATCAGAGCTCTTAAAATTTCATTCTTTCCTATTTGTGTTCAGCTTTTATTTTAGCTTCGCAAGTGAAAACTATCTTTCCTTGGGGATTGAAGGAATGCTTTTTCTCACAAGCTACATCTGGCATGCATTTCAGTGACATGTACTTCCTTTGGGCCTCTCTTTTAATCACAAGAGATGTAGGCTATGTGTCACTTGTGTGCTGAAGGCTGTGCAGCTCCCCTTGCCAAACTGCTGAGCATTTTTGACCAGGATGGAGGACATGGTGAACTTCATGCTGATCTTTCTGCATAGCCTCGGTGTGAATGAGCACTACTTTGTTTCCCTCCCTATACTTGCAGTGTCTGAGGACACTAGCAAGAAACTGCTGGTCAGCAGACAGTGTGTCTGTCTGCTGTCCATATTGTAGACACTATTCATCTTCTGTTTTTGTGGAGTGAAACTAATGTAATTTTGACTCTGCCCTCCAATAGCCTTCTGTCACTCTTCCTAACACAACTAGGAAAGGGTCAACAATATCAAGTATGTCAATGGCAGATGACTGCTCAAGCAGGCTTCTGCAGTCTGCCTCAAGAAGTGAGCCACTTAGCATCCCTGAAGGACAGTAGTCTGATCATTAGATTATTAATAATCTTGCCTTTTGAGAGGCAAAATGCTTTTACCCTTTCAGTCAGGAAAAAAAAAAAAAAAGCTTTAGAAATAAAAACCTAGCTATTATTCAAATTGTCCTGATATTTTTATTGAAGGGATCTAATTTCCTTAAAGACAGAGAAGGACCTGATGACAGTCAGATCTGGTTAAAAGCAGTAAATACGGATCAAATACAAAGGAATATAATTGTCACTGTGACATTCACTGCAACAGGGGTTAATTTGCAGCACCAGCAATTGATGCAGAGTAGACCAACCAAGGCTTTAACGGTGTTACGTTTGTATAGTTCTATATCAGGCAGTAGAAGGATGCTATCTAGCTTAAGTGTAGACAAGAAGGCACACTCCTAGACAGCATGATGACAATTAAAAAAAGCCAGAAGGAGGGTTTCCTGTTTAAAATTACATGACATGGTAGAATGGTTTGGGTTGGAAGGAATGTTAAAGATCATTAGTTCCAACCACCCTGCATGGGCAGGGACACCTCCCAACACTACTGCAGATGATGGCTTAGCTCTGTTTTCAGCCTGACCTGCTCTTGCATATGAGGTTTTCCTAAAGCAGTTGTATCAAATACAAGATAACTTGCTGGCAAATATTTATTCTTTAAGTAAAATTCCCAGTTACACTGCTGTAACAATGGGTTACAAAGTATTGAAAAAAGGGGGAAAAAAAAATTTAAACAACTTGTGCATTAAATTATTGTTACTGACTGCTAGACTGCCATAGTCCCCATTGCCTACTGGCTATTTTGAAGGAAACAAAAGTGACTTCTGCTCATGTACACTGAATTCCTTTAAGCTTATGCCTCAGCAGTCCTACCCTTAATATCTAGGCTTCTGCATTACCCTCTAGTAGGTTATGATTGCAGACCATGCTGTTTCAGAAGAAGAACATGCCTCATGAAATTCTGGGAGTACACAATTTACTCTCATATGATCCTTCCCTTCTATCCTCTTCTCACTTTTGCTTGTTGATCTGGTGTCCCATGCCATGCAAGGAGTATCTTGGAGTGACTGATGTAACATGAAAATGAGCTAATGCAAAAAGAGCTTTCTGTGGCACTTGAGGGTACATTTTAGGGCTCAACAATTATTTTTACCTTGCATTCTGACATAAGGGAATCAGCAATACAGCTGAAAAAATAGCCCCTCCCAAAACAAATTGAATTAACAAACCCAGCCCTATAAATATGGGCAACATGGGAAATTTTATGTGACTGCCTCAAACCCTGTGAAACAATAAATTCTGAATTGTGGAAGTTAAAATGCTCTATAAAGGCTAATCTCCAGTGAAAGTAAAAACTGAGAAAGTTGAGAACAAATTATTGTGAACCTAAGTGCTTATTTCCTCAAGTTAAGTGATTAAGGCATTTGCTCCTCCGAGTAGCTAAACTGTTCTAACTTAATGGCTTTTTTCATACAACTGTATTCTCTGGTCTGAGTTTGCTACTACAGCACCAAGTTAGTTTTTCTGGTTATAAATTTAAGTATATAAATATATAATAAAGCAAGGAAGATGAGAGGGATAGAAATAGGTAAGATATTACATGAAGCTTGTAGTTTAGATTTTATGCTATAACCTGTTGGGCGAAGAAAGCCTTCATCACAATAACTTGTTTCTTTTGATGAAAATAGGCTTTAAACACATGCCAAACAATAGTGACCTTATCTCCTTTTCACCTATAGAAAAACAATTATTTTTTTCTTACTGGATTTTTTTTTTATATACGTGTGCATATGTAGTACCAGTTTATCACAGGAAGCTGAGGAGCTAAACTGTCACAGTATATTTGGTACATGCATGATACTAATATCTTGCTTTAGAAAACAGAGTATCTTAATGCCATGGATTTATGCCTCAAGAAAAAAGAATTTGATTTATCTGGGAAATGGGTAGAAACCTTTCACTGGACCATGACTGCTTATGTGCCAAATTCTTCTGCTGAAATCCTTAGCTTGTATTTATGCAGGAAGGTGCTACTTAATACACTGTAAAAAACAGTCTAGAAAATGTCACTGCCTTTAGAAATGATCCCATAGAATAAAGGGTGTTGCCAAGCAAGGTTTTCTATAACAGGTTTGGAAAACTGCACAATCTTCCATTCTGGAAAGAATATCTAATGGTATTTAACTGAGATAAAGGAAAATTTCTGAAAAATGTGCTTAAAAACATGATTCTGTGAAGCAGAGCAATGGATGTCTCTATGCGTCTTTTGAAGTAGTAAATATACAGTCTGTATTAAGCAGGACTCTGGTATATAGATGTTTTGCCCAGGTTCTAGAAGTAATAAATCCAGGGCTTTGGCTGGATTTTTAATAATAACTGAAACAATCAAGGTTCCTTGACTTTTCTACAGAAAAAACAAAGAAAAATAAAACAACAAAACAAACCACCACAGAAGCAATTCAAATAGAATAACTTTCTCAGATTTAGAAACCATTTGCTTAGGTCTGGTTTAGCAACATGCCACTTGTTTTGTTTACAGAGTTTCTCCTTGTGGTAAGGGTGCCATTTTTATTGACCTAAGCCCTAATGATAATGAAATTACATTCCTTGGGTTTCTTATGTAGATTATCTGACAATATCCTGGAGGTTTCCAGGAGATTGTTGCCTAGTCTATCAGATTCCCAATGGATATGTTTTTCAGTTACAGGCAGAAACTAAGAATATCAAAATACTTTATGGCAAAGCAGTTTATCTGTTGCTGCTCATTTTCTTTTTCCCTCAAAGCCAGTTTCTACTGATTTTTACCTGTTCAATATGCAATAGCTTCTCAGCAACAGAAAGGTGAATAAACTTCCAATGGAAATTTAACCTAACAAGTTATGAATGGCATTTTTCTTTCAACAAAGGGATCTTCCTGCAGTCTTTAACTTTTATGCTACCAGTTTATTTCTGTAATTGTGGTATTTGAGTACATATGAAGATGTAGGGATGAAGTGGGAATTATCAGATTATGTCTAGCAGTTACATTGTTATGTGACTTTAAGTGACATTGCTTGGAAGATCTAATGTGCAGAAACAACTTGGAGACAAAAGTTCAGATAATTTCTGTGGAGCTTTGTCATCTAGGTTAATTTGGTTTCTACTCTGAACTTCTGTTCTTGAGTCCTACAGCCACAGAGCTGTTAAACACATGTAAGTACTGAGAAGCAAAGTGGAGGGCAAAATGTGTGGAAGTCACTGTCTTGAATTTTTTAAGAATAGCAAAGTCTTCCTGCTCCACCAAGCAACCTGTGGTCCTGTTCTTGGTAATACTTAAGTGGAAAAGGAAAATCTACAGATCATGGAAGGAGGGGCTGGTCACGTGGGAGGAATATAGGACTGTTGTCAGAGGATGTAGGGAGGCAATTAGGAAAGCTAAGGCCTCCTTGGAACTTAACCTTGCAAGTCAGGTTAAGGATAATAGAAAGGGCTTTTTCAAATACATAGCTAGCAAAACTACCAGTAGAGGCAATATTGGCCCATTGAGGAATGAGGTGGGAGCCCTGGTGACAGAGGATATAAAGAAGGCAGAGGTCCTGAATGCCTTCTTTGCCTCTGTCTTCACTCCTGCAGGGTCTACCTACGAGCCCCAGATTCATATAGCCCCAGAAGAAGTCAAGATAGAGGAAGAGTTTGACATGGTAGATGAGGATTGGGTTAGGGATCAGTTGAGTAATCTGGACATCCATAAATCAATGGGTCCAGATGGAATGCACCCAAGGGTGCTGAGGGAGCTGGCGGAGGTCATTGCTAGGCCACTCTCCATCATCTTCAGTAAGTCATGGGCAACAGGTGAGGTGCCTGAGGACTGGAGGATAGCAAATGTCACTCCAGTCTACAAGAAGGGCAAGAAGGAGGACCCGGGTAACTATAGACCGGTCAGCCTCACCTCCATCCCTGGAAAGGTGATGGAACAACTTGTTCTTGTGACTATCTCCAGGCACATCAAGGACATGGGGGTCATCAAGAGCAGTCAACATGGTTTTATCAAGGGTAAATCATGTTTGACTAACCTCATAGCCTTCTATGAGGAAATTACTAGGTGGATAGATGATGGTAGAGCGGTAGATGTGGTTTATCTTGATTTCAGTAAAGCATTTGACACCGTCTCCCACAGCATCCTTGTAGAAAAGTTGATCAGGTATGGGTTTGGTGATCAGGAAGTGAGGTGGATTAGGAACTGGTTGAAAGGAAGGAGTCAGAGAGTTGTAGTCAATGGGGCAGAATCTGGTTGGAGGTGTGTGACTAGTGGAGTCCCACAGGGGTCGGTACTGGGACCGGTGTTGTTCAACATCTTCATCAACGACCTGGATGAGGGTATAGAATGTACCCTCAGCAAGTTTGCTGATGACACTAAGCTGGGAGGAGTGGCTGACACACCAGAAGGCTGTGCTGCCATTCAGAGAGACTTAGATAGGTTGGAGAGTTGGGCGGGGAGAAACATGATGAAATTCAACAAGGGGAAGTGCAGAGTTTTACATTTGGGGAAGAACAACACCATGTCCCAGTACAGGTTGGGGGCTGAACTGCTGGAGAGTAGTGTAGGTGAAAGAGACCTGGGGGTCCTGGTAGACAGGAGGATGACCATGAGCCAGCAATGTGCCCTTGTGGCCAAGAAGGCCAATGGCATCCTGGGGTGCATTAGGAAGGGTGTGATTAGTAGGTCAAGAGAGGTTCTCCTCCCCCTCTATTCTGCATTGGTGAGGCCACATCTGGAGTATTGTGTCCAGTTCTGGGCCCCTCAGTTCAAGAAGGACAGGGAACTGCTTGAAAGAGTCCAGCGCAGAGCTACAAAGATGATTAAGGGAGTGGAACATCTCCCTGATGAGGAAAGGCTGAGGGAGCTGGGTCTCTTTAGCTTGGAGAAAAGGAGACTGAGGGGTGACCTCATCAATGTTTACAAATATGTAAGGGGTGAGTGTCAGGGGGACGGAGTTAGGCTTTTCTCGGTGATGGCCAGTGATAGGACAAGGGGTAATGGGTGTAAATTGGAGCATAGGAAGTTCAAGGTGAATATCTGAAAAAAATTTTTTACTGTGAGAGTGACAGAGCACTGGAACAGACTGCCCAGGGAGGTTGTGGAGTCTCCCTCACTGGAGACATTCAAAACCCACCTGGATGAGTTCCTGTGTGATGTACTCTAGGTGACCCTGCTCTGGCAGGGGGGTTGGACTAGATGATCTCTCGAGGTCCCTTCCAGCCCCTAAGATTCTATGATTCTATGATTCTATGATAATACAGTAAGTTATTGCTTGTCTTTTTCTCACGCCTTATGCTATTGTTACGCAGGGTTGGAAAGTACTGTAAATATGAAAAGCAACAGATTGTCAGGCCAAGTCCACAGGTTAGGAGTTCTGAAAGCACATCCAGGAACAACAACATTAAAAACCCATATAAAGAAGGTCCACCAATCTTGCTCTTTTAATGTGAAATTCTATTACTTATGTCACACCTCCTGGCCCTTGCTTTCAAAATCTAATCAAATACTAAAATTCCCATTCCCTAGATTATAGTTTCTTGTCATTTTCTTGGTGAGAAACTGTATCACACAGATAAAAAAAAATTCTACCTAATTCAGTCTTTTAAAAACAGGACTTATGAAGATTATTTGTCTTTATGTCTTCTCTGCACCTTTAGAGGACAGTGTTAAATAGCATACTCAAATTAGTATGTTCCCAGTATTAACAATAAAGCCTTTTTTCCATGGAATGAGTGACTAAATGTGGATCTCTAAGTATATGTCTGCTAAATCCAAAGCAACTGTAGCCCTTCTGTTAAATTCTGCTAACTTCATCTATATGGTATGAAACCACTGATAAAGTATGTTATCTGTTCACATTGACTTTTCAAGGCTCCATTAAGTTGCTGGAGTGCAGTATCTTTCTATAAATACCAGATCTTTGCAGTCACAGACTGAGGGCTGTGTTAGCCTTTCCAGATCCTGAGCCAGAAATAAGCTGGTGAAACAGATGGGAAAGTGGAAAGCAGGAATTACTATATGGGCAAAGTGAAAGCTCTTATGGTAATTTTAACTGTAAAGTTTCATGCTTTCAAGTACTTCCTTTGAAATTAAAATTTATATCTCTAATACTCTTCATTTATACCGCAAAGCCATTCTTATGGTTTTGTACTTCTAACCTTGATGTTAGAAGGTGTTTATATTTTGGGGTATATAAATTTGATTATATTAAAGAACAATCAAATGCCTTTCCTTGGTCATGCTAAGCTGTATAAATGAGTCTCTGTCATTACTGATACAGCTTACTTCTGCTTTTGCCAGTACATCATTAGAGATATTTATAGAGCTATAAAGAACAGTAGTTTCCTTAATTAAAAAAGCAAAGTGAGAGAGATAAAACTTTGCTCCTTTTAATTTGGCATTACCTTTTACATGTAATGCTTGTTTATGCTTTTTCAAGCATTGCAGAAACAAGTTTTCCAGAAATAACGGGTTTTTTTAATTAATAAGCACTGTAGAGTCTAGCTTTTGTTTTCTGGTCACTAACTTAGTTAGACAAAAAAAAAAGTCTATTTTTGTTTATTTGGGTTGATCGATTAAATCATTACATAAGCAAACTTAGTGTCATCTTCTAGGCTTGTCTATTCGTCTGATAAAAATCTTAAAGAAACTGAGGAGCTGGCTATGATGAAAAAAGTATTGGAACCCAAATTAATACAAGAAAACAACACTGCTGCTCTTCAGAACACTCAAAGAAATGTAAATTGTCTTGGAGATGGCAAAAGAGAACCTATTGATCAGACTACTCAAATGCAGAAAGATGTTGCTTGCTCATCTTGTGGTGAAGAGGAAATTCCAGAAGTAGTCATTGATTCAGAAAGCAACAAAGCCAATACAGGTGAGTTTGCAATTATGCTTTTGTTTATTTTTTTGTTTGTGTTTTTAAAAAAAAATTATCCAAAGGCACCTACAGAAAAATGCAGATTAAGATTAAAGCTATTTTTATAACACAGCTTACATGGATATTCTTTGCCATGGTCTACCTCATTCCCTCATGCTTTGAAAAAATGAATTGTTACAGAAGTTTGGCAGGAGCGATTCCTGGCCAGTGTGTAACAATAAATCTGACCGGATTTGCCAGGCATCTGGCATATTCATCACCATTGTGTCCTGTCTTTTCTCTGAAACACAGCAAATTTGAGTCCTTACCATGTAGGATTTCCACAGAGCAGGATCTCTCCATTCCTTTCCTTTTGTAGCAAATTACACTAGTTCTATTGTTTTATGAGGATTTTGGAATCTTTCAGAATCTTCCCTACTACACTGTGAGTGAAATAAGTAACATTATCTACACCAGAGGTGTTGGCTGCTACAGCTGTGTCCATAAGATAGGTCCAAGCAACAAATCTGATCAGGCAGAAGCTTGTAGCACTATGTGACCCTTCTTCAGAGTCTTTAGTGCACAGGTACCAGATCTCTGCATAAAAAAGGAAATGGCTACATAATTGTAAGAAAGAGTATCTGTAGTACTTCTGTAGCTATCAAACATTAAGCATTGTTCAAATGTCTAATATCTCAAGTCAAAATGAGAAGCAAAACACAAGGTCTATAAAACCTTTCAAGGAAAATATAGCTTGAATATGCAGTATTAAAAATTTTTATGTCAGATTCTGCTCAAATATGTTACAGTTGTCTGTGTACTGTCAATACTCTACCCTATCGAAAGTGAAAGCAGCCATTTCTCCCATCTGCAGGTAATTCCAAACTAGAAACTGCATCTGTGTTAGGAGAAGACTTAATGATGCTCTACAAGAAGTGCTGTTGTCCAGATACTAGTATTTGCATAGAAGGCAAAGATTTTCAAGCTCACAGGTACATAAGTATTTACTGTAGTGTTTTTCAACTAAAATCCTTCTAGTAAAAAAATGCTGCTGGTATTGTGTATCTATAGTAAATTATTGCTGGTGCTGTTACGTAGCAGTGAACAGTTGAAGTTTTTGGATCTTGTGTAAGAAGTGGCCATGCTTTGCTACTATTGAAAATTACTTACTTTTTAATGGCAACTATTGTAAAAAAATTGCAGTTTTAGCACTTGTAAGATTGCCACTATAAACTCAGTATATGAATATGTACTCTTGTATAAATACTGTGTAGGTCTTTGCTAATTTTTAAAAACAATCTGTGCTCTCTGAAGAAAATGGAAAATCTATTAATAAACTATTCAGCTATTAATGCTGAATAAAATTACCACACAAGTAGAAAATTTCTTTAGTAGTAATGATTTTTTTTCTGCTCTTCAGAATCTGTGCAGACAGAATCTGTTTTTATTTTCATTACTTCAGTCATGTAGATGTAAAGATTGTCAGCAGTCTTTATTGGATCTAAAGTCCAAGACCATGTAAGAACTTTGGCTTACTTAGGAATACTTAGGAATGTAAATCAAGGCGTCAGTACCACTCCTTGTACTCCTTGATATAAGTCTGTTTGCACTTAAGATAGCAAACTAGACAGCTTGTATTTTGTTCCCTTTCAGCTTATAAGTTAGATTATTAAAACCTCCACTATTTTTAGGATTTTCTCAACACAAAACCAATGTGGAGGGTTTTATTACTGATGTTACAAATATCTTTACAGAAGATAGATCAAAATAGTAGTGAGGATACTTTTTTTTATTAATAGAATTAGGATATATACTAAATTTCCAGAATGTAGTTTTTTCTTACAGTCTATATTGTAGGAAGACATGCTCTTAGGTTCATAACTTGAGAAACAAATGCCTTGATGCAAAAAGAAAGTCAACAAAAAGATTCTGTGAGTAGAACTGCTTTAATTTAGGCCACTTAGTGCCTGGAGCAATGTATCTAGTCTACACAGCATAAAAAAAAAAAAAAAAGGCAGTAATTCACAGAAAACAAGGATGTTCTGAAATAGACACAAGGCTTGCTTGAGGTACTGCATCATGTGAATATTAGGAGTAAGGGAAATCTAACTCGGGGTATAACTGTGGTGAAAGCACCAGTATGATAATTTTTTTTAAGTTCTAAAACAGGAGACAGTTTAAGCTCCCACTTATCTCATTACTCCTTAGTTTCTCATTAAGTCCTATGAACTTCCAGTAGACCTTACAGTGTGAGCAGCAGCGCTCTGAGAAAGTTCCCAAGGTATGACTTCCAAGTGCTGTGTTGTATTCTTACAGAGCTCTGAGAGCAGTTAAGTCAATTTGTTCAGCAATAAAGTTGTGGCACAAACCATGACAGTGTGAAAGCACAGATAAATTCACTCCAAATTTATTTGGTATCTCCATGTATTTTATAAGTTAAAATTTTAACAGTGAATGTTTAGCCATTTTATTTAAAATGAGTCCTTGAACCTTCCAGCCTAGCCCTGTTCGTTACTAAAATTTATTTGGAAGAGGATGACAAAAGTGGAGACAGTGTGCTTCATATCTCCATGATATGGTGTTACTGTATCTTACAAAAAATGAGATCATGTGTGTATTTGGAACTTCAGAGGCTCAAAGGTGTGATGTAATAGACATTTATGCGTGGACACATTTCACTGAGATAAGAAACATTCTGCAAGAGCTTCGTTATTATTATTGCTAGATGAATCACAGGAGCAATGTGTGAGGAGTTCCTAATTTAAAGTATTGAGAGTTCTGAAGGAGGAGGAGAGAGATTCCAGAATATATAATAACTAGAAAAGAGACCATAAATAACTTTCTTCTTCTTCCTACACAAAATGAGAGTGCTCTGAATCATTTTAAGAGCAAACAAACACATGCAAAAGAAAGGGTTCTTATGCCTAATATAACTGGGTTTTATGCCATAAGAAATAAATACATGACATACAGTAATTCTACAAATAATAATAAGCTTACTATCAGGAAAAAACTGTATGTATGAGAATATTATCTACAGCTGCAATAGCCCAGATAAGATATAGGAAACCTAACAGTATAGCTGGTGTAAATCTGGAAGGCTGAAATTGTAACTGAATACTGATACTGGTTGAGATACTCAGCTACATAGACTACTGGTCTGGGGTTTCTTTATTGTCTTTGATGGAAGTAAATCAAATTAGCTCCTTTATGGCCTTATACACCTTTAAAATATTCAAGGGTAATAAGTCTAAAGCAGCTCTTCTCAAACAGGGCTGGAAATACACATCCTATTGTTGTATCATGTTAGTGTCACATTTGTTTAACTTCTAAGATGTGCTGGTAGATGGCCAGCCAATTTTGAGTAAAAGCTTTTTACTTCTCATTTCCTTTTAATAATTACACATTTTGTAGTATAAAAATAATAGATTAAGGATATAATTATGTGGCTAAAATGATGCTGTATAAATGAGGGGTTTTTACTGTTATTTGGTAAATAAAGCAGAATAAATCAATTTGCAGTTTTATAGTATATAAAAGGAAAATGCTTGGGATAATAATTTTCTGTGAAAATGTCAGTCTACTAGAAACAAGCTTTAAATAAGAAATTTAGAAAACATGATTTATTTTTTTTTCTTAGCATATTTTGGAAATCCAGATATACTGGGAAAAAAGGCATGCAGTATACAGATGACACCTTACTGCATAAAGGGCAAAGATTTAAGTCAATGTTACGAAAGAGTCTCATAATAAATATTTTTATCTAGTAGAATAATGTTTACTTTTTCTCCCAGGGCTATTTTATGTGCCAGATCTAGTTACTTTGCTGCTATGCTGAGTGGAAGTTGGGCTGAAAGCTCCCAAGAGCACATCACTCTTCAAGGGTAAGTGTTGTCTTTCCAAGTCATGTGGGAGCAAAGGTAGGCAATTTAAAATCACTGCAAATATGTAACAACTGTGCTGTGTATGGAACACTTAACATTAATCTGCCTTGACACTTCTGTTCAACCAGATACATTTCCCCAGTACTGTTTTGACTTTAGTATGAAATAGCCTGTGTAGTGTATTTGTTAATGTTGTCAGATGGCTCAGGGAAGAAGTCGTTTTTCATCAGCAGAGGAGTACTAATGCTTTTTTGTAGAGTATATTTTAGTATTCACAGTCTATTTTACAATTCTTTCATTTCATGTTGTAGGTGTCATGAGAAGTATTGTGAATGTCAGAACAGTATAATTTATTTTCATACCTATTTGTACAATAAGAGTATATTTCTAATGTAAAGACAATCAGTTACATTTCTTAATTTGTGTTTAGTAATAATATTATGGCATCGTACACAAACAACTGTGACTAGTGTGCTTGCTTGAAATGGCTTCTGTGTGAGAGCTGAAAATAAAGGAGTTGTCAGTGTAGGATGAATACTTAAGACTTTGTAGATAAACTGGGGACTGCCAGGTTAGTTCTTCTCTGTTTCAGAAAAATCAATTTAAATACATTACATTTTTTAAAGCAAACTAATGCTGGTATTTGCACACGTTAGCTTCTTTAGACCAGACATGATGTTGACTGACTCAGCTTTCTTCAGAAAGAACTGTACCTTACAGTGTTGCAAAATAAAATTGCTTTGCATTAATATAAAATTGCTTGGCCAAATGATGCTTTCTCATATTTTCATAATTTTAGTTTTCTGTCAGTATAATCATAATGCTGCAAAATAATGAAAAGTTATCAGTTGATTTGGTTATAACCTCCTAATCCTTATAAAACAATACACTCTAATTGATGCCTTAGCTTTTATGCTATACATGGCATGTTTTAGAGGCTGATAGACAAAAAATTACTCCAGTATTCACACTCTTCTTCCTGTAATTGATTTCTATATGGCTGAGAAATTTTCATCCTTATTTTTCAGCAGAGGCTTTCTCCTGAGAAATACTTAATCTTTATATTGGCTCATGCCAATGTCTCATAATTTCTGTTACTAAGATGATATCCATTTGTTTTACCTTTTCTAGTTCAGTTTTCTGCTTGGTGCAGATTTCCATGCTGTCTTTTTAAACACTTATAAGGAAAAAACATATGGCTTATTCTGAAAGAATGAAAATTCTGCCAGCTTTCAAGGCTTGGGGAAACCTTCCTGCT